TTATAGGCGCTTTCCGGTATGGCTTTGAGTTCCCTCTGCGAATTCTGTTTTACGTCTTCTATGGATTCAAAACGCGTTCCTCTGAGTGGTAATTTGAGGTTGGGAAACAGGAAAAAGTCACACGGTGCAAGATCAGGTGAATACGGTGGCTGTTCGATGGTATTTATTGAATGTTTGGCCTTAAAATCGTTGATAATGTTGAACAAATTGAGGTGAATCGGAACAAGCCGGGCGTTGACACGTCGCATACACAAATTGTCCACCAAAATCAAACGAGCCATCTCACGACCGATGCCTAGCTCTCGTGCTATCTCTCTAACACTCACATGAGGATTTTTGAACACGATTTCCTTTGCCTTTTCAATGTTTTCGTCGGTGGTAGAGGTCGAAGGTCGTCCAGAACGCGGCATGTCTTCGACGGTCGTACGACAGTCCTGAAAGGCTTTGTACCACTCATAAACTTGAGTTTTCGATAAAACTGATTCCCCATAAGCCTTTTGTAGCATTCGCAACGATTCTGCACACGAAATTTCGTTCGAAAAACAAAATTTGATGCAAACTCTTTGTTCAATATTTTTTTCCATTGTTTTTTTCGCAACGCACTACTGAGGTGAACTGGTTTCAACAGCTGCCGTAAACGAACTGTCCGACAGATCGACGCCATTTTTGGATAGTAATTAAGGACAGTGCTGCCAAACTACATAAACTTAAAATATCGAAAAATATACAGCGCGCGAATTTTAAATGAGAATTTCCGAAAGCTTTTCGGTCACAATGTATATACTATACTATACTATATGTCACATTTATTGACGAAAATATTGACGACATATGGGTTCTTCATTAGTAAAACAGGATTGGGAACCAATTTCTATATTTTTTTCTTTTCAATAAAATAAAATTAAGCAAAAAATGAAAGTAATACCTAATTTTGAAATCGTAATTAATTAATTAATTCGTATATTAGTTGAAAATCTATCATGATAATCTCTCTGATTTTTAAAGTGGATGCATGTTTTGCAATGATCCTGAAACTCGCATCAGTATCTCTTTGCCAATCTATGCTTATGCTTTTTTAAAATAAATTAGTCTAAGACATGCTAAGGCGAAATAAAAAGTCATTAACTTTTGGGATAACATATAGTCACTGTAGCTTAATTACTGGAATATCCTCAATGGAACTATCCTGAACTCACAACGTAATTTATGGAATTAATGCAAAAACATATAATATATTATATTATAATATATGATATTTTCTTCTTTCTGAGAGTATTCAATGTGAATTGTTCAGTATGGGTCTCAAAAGTATCAGCACATTATTAGTTGACAGAACTTCGGTCGTTTTTTAACCCGATTCATACTGGATAAACCCATTTTTTAGACTTTAAGTGTATTCTAATAGGTCCATATTTAAATTAATATAAAAATGCGATTGGAAAACATGTTTTTTTGAATGAAATTTGTTAAACTGTTGCATTTGTGCTTAATTGTAAGCAATTGTTGCAAGCGTCTTACATAGAGTGTTAGCATACCTAACTGATTGAACAAAATCAAATATATAAAACAATTTGAAATTAAAAAATTCACTATGTACTTCGATCAATCGATCAAAAAGGTCTATAGATTATAACTATTATATCCATAATTAACCCATTTCCGCATTAAAGACCTATACATTTTAGTTGTCGTACATAGAGGACTTTTAATCGCCGATCAATCAATCCATCGTGGATTTTTTTCAACTGCTTCGGATGTAGGACTTTAACTGAGTATCTATAATGTTTGCTTACTAATTGTTATACGACCAGGTGGAAACTCAATAAATTACTTCTGGATCGTTGAAATTGATAGTGTATAGTCTACATGGTATTTATTTTAACATGAGAGATATGGCAAGGGTTTTGCTATTGCTTGCTTCTGTTATGCAGTTAGAGTTATTTGTGAAAAGAATTCAAATGCATACCTTTTAGACATGGTATATAATGATAATATGATATTAGTTTTTATAGTAGTCCTCCACCTCTGTATCGCAACTGCAGTCCATAGAGGCCTTTTTTTCTCCAATTAAATATATATTATATATCTAATTTAGTTGTTGAACATTTGTTAGATTTACATTTCAAAATATTACGAATGATATTTATCACATCACAATTTTTAACTTTAAAATAAATAAGAAAATTATCGACATTACTCCGCTTATAAACTTGAAATACAATTGAGATCTATAAACTAAACTTTTTATTTTAAAAATATTTTATATGAAGTGATATGTAAAATATATATACTTTTTGGGTCTCGCCTTCAAGACGGTTACACTAATACTAAACTGATAACGTATTTTTGAAATATAAATAATTTTTATAAAATTTATTACAAAAACGATATCATGATTCATATACATCCACGACGCCATATAATAGTCACCAAAGCATTTAAGCAAGCTTTCATCGGAATTTAGTTTATAATTGTTGTTTCAACAAAACGTTCATAAAGCAAAAATACCAATATTTATACAAAATGATGTACTCAAAAGCTGAAATGTACTAAAAAAACTAAAATTATTAATATTAAATTATTAAAAAAAAAATTTATTTAATTAATATATTATTTCTTGTAGATTACAGGTAGCTAATATGTCGCTGAGCGCAATGCATTGCACGCGTTGCACGGAAGGATTCGAGCCAAACGAAAAAATCGTTAATTCGAATGGTGAACTCTGGCATACGCAGTGCTTTGTGTAAGTTTTTATATATAATAAAAAATTGTATTTAAATATTGATTATTTTAATTATTATATTTCTCGTTAGTTGTGCTCAGTGCTTCCGTCCATTTCAAGATGGTATCTTCTATGAATTCGAAGGACGCAAATATTGTGAACATGATTTTCATGTCCTCTTCGCGCCTTGTTGCAATAAATGTGGAGAATTTGTTATCGGACGTGTTATAAAGGCAATGTCCGCAAGCTGGCATCCACAGTGCTTCCGTTGTCAGTTGTGTGCTAAGGAATTAGCCGATTCTGGCTTTATACGCAATCAAAATCGTGCCTTATGTCATGAGTGCAATGCCAAAGTTAAGGCTGAAATAACTGGACGTTATGTGTGCCAAAAATGCCAGTAAGTATACTTATTACCGGTTAAGTAAATATTAAATAATTTATAAATATATAATGTTTATTATATATATTATTATTATTATGTATATTATTATTATTATGCATTATTATTATTATTATTATTATTATTATTATTATTATTATTATATATATTATTATTATTATTATATATATTATTATTATTATATATATTATTATTATTATGTATATTATTATTATTATATATATTATTATTATTATATATATTATTATTATCATATATATTATTATTATTACTATATATATTATTATTATAACGTATTTCACACTGTGGCTGAGATATGTATTGTACTCGTTTATCAATACAGATTATTTCTTTGAGTTTAATTTTGAGTTCTATATGTATATTGTCA